ACTGAGTATTTCATTGAATATCCTTTGGGCATTCATGGAGAAAGATGAAGGGGAGTATCATCTGTCATGAATAATTATTCATCGAAAAAATAAAAATCGCATTGGATAAGGAGTTAACGAGTGAACATTTTTAACACGGCGAATAAATTCATTTTCTTCACCATCAAAATAGTTAAAAATTAGATTTTTAATAAATTTTTATAAAAGGTAATGAAATGCGAGGATGAAAGGTTGATAAAGATTGTTAATTTCATAAAATGTGTGCTTAAAATTAATTATTGACAAATTAAGCACAGTAAAATCAACAACCGATAACCCTACCCAATTATTAGGTACATTATAATTTAGAATAATGCTACTTACAGTCGCTCACTGCAGCAATCGTTCTATGGGCACACACATGGCAAGTGTGTATTTGATGCATTAAATGTGGTAAAAAAAACTACCATATTAATGCATCAAATAACTACATGTCATGTGTGTGCCACATAGGGCGACTGTTGCAGTGAGCGACTGCATGTAGCATTACTCTATAATTTATATTCACTTGCTTAAATTAATATAATACAATAGGTTTGGGACACATTACTAGAGACGATGATATATTAATAAACATGTCTGATTGTACTGTACATTCATGTTCAATACAGGAACAATACATACACTCTATATTTAATGCCTTGAATACAATAACAGAAGAAGAAGAAAAAAAATTATTCATCATTTCATTTAATATTATTTAATTATATACATTACTCCTCCTCTTGGGTATTATTATCGTTGATTTTGGGTATTCTAATACCACAATAATTGAAGGTGTCACATGCACGACTTTTTAAAATTAACTAGCAATTAAGCCGACTTCTAACGTGTAGTCAACAACAAAGTGCTTAGTGTACCCATTATAATTGATAAATATTTGGATTTTACTTCTTGTACATAATTATTTATTCTGTAAATTTTACATATACTCACATGGGGGCGAGCCCCATGTGAATAAAATATTATTATAAAAAATGGGACCCACTCCAATGTGTATAATCTATTGTTTTTACAGATGAAATTCTTGTGTAACAGTAGCATGATTCTAAATATTTATTATTAGATTTCTTTAAATGTAAAAAAAAAAATTATTTTGATGCCAACTAGAAATACAAGTGGAAATACAAATTTATCTAAAAGACAAGAAAAATGTGTAATTGTTTTCGCCTGCAATGGTAAAATAATTCTCGCCTGCTACATTTTAAAAACTTATTTATTTCCGAAAGATAAAAAAGACTGATAATGCAAGACCGTGCCACGTTTCTCCACAACTATTTTTAAACCTTGCATTCTTCAAAAGTGAAATAAAAATTGTGTTTCTTCATGTCTTTTTCCCACTTTTTGAACAATGCAATCTCAAAAAAAAAAAATAAATAAATAAAAAAAAAAAAATTCGAGAGATCACTTCCATACAAGTGCGATGATACTGGAAAATTTGGATAATGATCGAAAGTAGATTTGTCTACCCCTGGTTATATGAAAAAGGGTCGGGATCTCTCTCTCTCTCTTTTCAACAATCAAGTCATTATCATCCTTATAAACGAGAGAATATTAGTGAGTCTCATTGTATATAATAAGAAAACTCATTTTTTATACATAGTGATTCTAGTCATCAAGTTTGTTCTACACGGTGACTGACCAAGCTTCTGAGTTACTGGTTAGATTGATAATCGACGTTGATTTTAGGCCATTTAAACTCAAGAAATGATCAATGAACATAATTATTCATCTTATTCGAAATATCGGTGACATGACATTACATCAAATTCATTGGTGAATAATAAATTTAATTCAAATCTTGAAAATCATCATTAATTTATCCACCAATGAATTAATCTATCATATCATCAATATTTAATTGTTATTTATCTTTTATAGTATCTATTAGATCAATGTATCAAGGTCCGACGCTCCCCAAAGTAAATATTTTTCCGCATCTCATAGACCACCAACCAGGTTAGTCAACACTCGGTTCTCCATAAAAACTAACCCGTTCGTCCGGTTCATTAGCTGGTCAATTGCTGTTTGCTCCAAATATGCTAATTGGATCAGACCGGAGTCCGATTCATCGAGTTTCCCAGGCGAAACAGTCTCTTATGTCTCTGACCTTTTATTTACAGGCAAGGATCACTAATTTATTGTAGTGAATGAGTAATATTTTTCAATCATCATGCCATGTTTTTCCTTTTTCTTTTTTTTCGAAAAAATAAAAATAAAAAAATGATGCAGACATCACGATTTATGTTATTGTTGATTTTTTTATTAATTAGTTTTTTTATCATTATTGGGCTCCACGCCCTTCTTGCTGCCTTCTCCTTCACGCTACATCAAAAAATCTACCGTGCAAGCTGACGTAGGAAAAAAATAGACTATGTAGAGCTCCGTCTAGATTCAAAAGCTTAACTCTATTAGCAGAGTCGAGAAAAAAACTATTAGCAACAGCTTTACAAACTACCATAACATTTACAACACATGAAATATGAAACTAGAAAACAGGAGAGGCTAGATACATTATTATTTGAAAATGAAGAAATCCATACTATTTTCATCCAAGTATGTCTATGGTTTATCACCTTCATAGCCTTCGGTGAATCTGAGTGTATGCTCTTTCGTATAAACGCGGTGTTTTCTCTCTCTTCCGTATATTACCCAGAAAAGTAGCGAGAGCATAACTGCAGTAGCAACCATCACTAGCCCAACATAAATCCAACTGCTGTATCGTCTCAGGCCTGGACAATATGTTCGGCTTATGTCCGTGAATGTTTGTCTCACAAAAGTGCAATCCTGTAGATCAACGAGGAAAGGACCATATCTATACAAGCCAAAGCTTACATTTACACCAGCGGCCATCTGACTGTGGAACGTCGGAGTCAGACGACCAGTAGTGACACAAATGCCATTCGGTGAAACGTCACAGACATAGTTCTTCCACACCTGCATGGCGTAAAATGAGTTAGCCGGAATAAACCTAAATCTCTAACTTCAATAGTAATAAACAAAGAATTATAGTGGTTCGTCTAAACGTATTAGTTATATCAAACGTGTTCTTTTAATGAAAGTCCGGAGCTTCAAATTTGTTAGTCTGTTCCCTTATTCACAATAGACATCATGCAGATATCTTATCCTTCACCTACACTAAGAACGGGTAAATGCATATGATAAATAATGTAGCTTAAGCTTGCAGACACAGTTTGGATCTTTCACAATATATTCGAAATTCAATACTGAAAACTCCATTGATATGCATTTTTCAACTAGTACAAAAAACGAAATGGTTATTTCTATATTTCTGGATCTTCTATAGAGTTTCTATATGCCAACTACAAAAGGATTTGTCAAATACCTGTGTTGCATTTTCCAAATCCACTTCACCCGGCTTACATGCTCGATCAGTCAGATCAGAATTAAATGGATTGCAAAGGGACGGTAGAAGTGGGCCGGATTGATTGAAGTAGAGAGTTGGAACGTTCGGGGGGGAATTGATATTGGAGACATTGTTGACAACAAAGTTCATTATATTAGCAAGTTGAGAAGTGACTTCCTTGCTTTTTGTCAAAGTTTCTCGTGCCGTGGCATTGTCCATGCACGGCAGTATATCGTCTAGAGCTGTATGAGCCGTTGGATTCTGGACCCATTGATCCATTGCTACACAAGTGTCTGCAGTCACACTGATTTGAAAATTGAGCAGTTAGATTCAAGAAAAGAAATCCAAATCAATTCTAAATCAATGGAAAAAGAATGCGCTAAGCAGCAACTTAAAGGAGGTAACAACTGCAAATTATTTGGAAACAAAGGTAACCATTTAGTAAATAAATAGGTAACTAGAACGATTTGGATCATAATCATCCACCAGAAACATTTAGTATTTTACATCTGACGGCCTCTTCTACAGATTGATCACAACTTTTTCCCAAATGCTTTATCCCGGAACCTTGAAAAAGACTCTTAATTCTGTTGTTCTAGAGACTCTGTGTCCGTAACATAGAACAGTGGAAAGAAAGAAAGAAAGAAAGAAAGAAGAAGAAAAAGAAGAAAAGATTTGGAAGAGAAATTGTAGGAAAAAATAATTTGTCACTTTAATAAAGTTGAATCTACAGTATTTAGAAATCGTAGTCCCTTTTAATTTTATACTTGGAATTTCTTGTCTCATTCATACTAAAAAAAAATTCAATCGGAAAGGAAAGTTAGCAAAACAAAAAAAAGGAAATTCCCACTTCGGAATGATTTGTAGCCCGCATGGTTCTATATTTTACTAGTAAGCAGCTGGTAAAGAAAAAACATGGTTTCGGCTCATTTTCACAAAGAGAGCGACTTAAATAATCTGAACATTCTCCTCATATGTAATGTATAGTCTAAGCTGTACAGTAATTAACCTAGCAAAAGGAAAATGGTAAGAAATGACAACGTGATTAAAAGATGTGCATTGTTAAAATAGATCATACTTATGGAGGAGAAGAAAAATGCCACACAATATAAAAGTTCCCGTGACAAGAATCCATCCTAAGATCACCAAGCTGCAACAAGAAAAGCAATCGTTTAGGAACACTGAAGGAAGAAATGAAGAAAATGTATTGGAATTCAATTCTATTTAAATAACTGCATCACTTACATGTATACAATAAATTGCATGCCAAAAAGTGAAAACACTGAGAGATTCGAAAGACAAGGTCAGCCACATGTAGATTGTAAACAGATTCTTATTTTCTTCTCAAATTTAAATGATTAAAAATATCCTTACCAAATCCAAGAAACGTCAAGATAAGCATAATGGCAGACAGTATGATTAGAGCCAATCTCCTGCAAGAGCCATAAAATGATTAACAAACTAATCAATTTGGAATTCCATAATGCAAGAAAGATATATCATGAACTGTATGTGCAATCAACTTACACAGAATCGATCAGATTTTTTATGTCATTTGAATTATCTTCTGTTGTAGTGGCAAGGGTACTAGCAGAAGAGTTTATCTTGGTCTGAATCCGATCAATATCAGATTGGACATTAGAAGGGAGAAACATTTGATCCACTCCGACCTTCTTAGCTGCAGATAGATATTCAGATACATTCCTAAGTTTCTCGGATGTGGAATTTGCCTGATGTACAACATATTCCAAAGTGTTTGCTGTGCTGCTATGATATTTCCCCTGGCCAGTGTACAAAACAGCACATCCAATGCTGAAAATGGCAGGCACCAAATTAGTCTGACAGAACGAAGGTGCAAGTGTGTGCATCACACGTAAATATATTTATGTATGTTTGCGTGTGAATAATTGCACTATTGGCCCCCAACCCATTGCCTAGTAGCAAATTAGTCTTGCGTTTCATTATTTTTGCACAATCAATGCGTTTCGTTATGTTTACGTTAAATTATCACATGGACCTCATGGAAACCTGCCTCACTTCAAATATAGGTCATGAAGCCATGTTGGGAAGCAAAACCTAATTTTAAGAAGTTAGACATGCGAAGGTTGCTTGGCCATTTAACATAAATTGGATTGTTTCTGTCATGGAGGACTGGTCGGAGACCAACTTGCTCCTTTTTAAAGGTTAGCAATCAACTTGCTATTGAGGCAATAGGTTGAGGACCCATACTGCAATTTTCCGTGTATACATATATATATATATATATGCATCAGTGTCTGTATGAAGAAAGAAGTACATTGCAGCAATAGTGAAGAGTATGAGTAATATTAGAGAGAGCGCATAAGCAATTCGAGAATAGCCATAAGGCTCCTTGTGACAGCAACAGTGGCGGAGACAGATGATTAATAAACATAACGCGAAGAGCCAAAACCAGGCTGCCGCGATAACAAAAAATGGAGCAGCGGTAAAAGCCACAGACTGCAAAATAAATAAATAAACTGAATGAAAAAGAAGTTTGATATTGTCGAATGACATTAGAAACCAAATATTAGACATGAAAGTGATTTATAAAGTACAGTTAGTAAACACGAACAAGGGAATTACCACAATATTCTAAGTTTCAAGACATTGACATCAATACATATATCATTGTAAACCCAAACTGCATATCCAAGTAATTGAAATCATGGATATATCAACTACAACAGAGAATACAAAATCAATTTTTTTGAAATTTCTAAAATTTATCACACACACCTCTATGTTTTCAGCCAACAGTATTATGAATAGACCTAACACAATCTCAATTTCTTTTATCTCAATATATTAAGACTTCCAGCTGAATTTCATCCCAAATTTGTACACTGAAATGATGGAATAAGAGTACCTTACAAAAATTATTTTCATTGCTAATTAAGATTTCAACGGATATTATTAGTTACAAATTCCAATATCATTAAATTGTTGCATTTATAAAGAAAAAGCTAAAGTCGCATAATATTTTTATCAAGAATATGTATTGTTTATATGACTCCATACCTTATAAGGACCAAAGTTAAGGAAAAAAAAAATCAATTATATAATTAAGTGGTACAGATAAGATAATGATCTTTGAAGACTTCCACATAATTCCTGACCAAGATTTGCCCAAACATCCTAAAATAATTTCTGCAATACCCTTATTACATCAACTCATCATCGCTCAACATGTCAACATCCAAAACTGTTTCGATCACCTCATTTTAGCTATCCCAGCTCTACAGTTTCGTACTTTTTTCTTTGTAGCTTTTGTGTAATACTTGCATACACACGCGTAGAACCATTAATACTTGGAGGGTGGCTACATCCCCCTTATTTGTAACAATTCAGGGAATAATGCCAAACACCCCAATTCAGGCTCACGTCCGTAGGCCAAAAATACAGAACTGTAGACGCATATACCCATTTTTTTCTGTTTTTTTCCAGAGCACAGGCAATTGGAATGAGCATATACTGAATTACGCCTAAACTAATCCCAGAAATTCATTCTTTTTTTTTTTCCTGGAATTTACTCAAAAATTTAAAATTAACTACAGATTTTATATTATACAAATAAAACTGAAATCTTTGAAGAACTTACAGCCCAGTAATGTGGTTGACTAATATTCCAGCCTCCTCTGTATTTCTCGAAATTATTTAGAGGATCTTTTCTATAAGTCCTCTTTGCAGCCAACACAAGAGTTGAATTCACCGGACGCTCATCGGATTCAGCAAGAAATCTTTCAATTCTCCCCCAAGAAAAAACCATCCCATTATTTTTCTCCCCAAATGACCCTAACAAATTCCCAGAAAATCATTAACAACAAGTTCAAGACCATTCTAAATATATATTTTTAAAAAAATATGTCAAAGTCGGGTACCTGAAGTAGCAGGAAGACGAGCCTGTTCTCCAAGTGAAAATGAAAAGAGAATGCAAGAAAAAAATAGATATGCAGTTACAAGGCAAAATGGCAGTGATTTGAAGCACAACATTGTTTGAATCCCACACGAGCTCTGTTTCTTGAAAATGAGTTTATATTCTCAATTCTTGAACCCAGAAAACTAATTAATATTTGATATGGCCTTCAAATATATCTCTCTCAGTTTTCCTGTACACAAACGAGGAGAGAGAAAGAGATAGCAGATTTTAGCAGTTGAGATAAGTGGAGAGAACGAGTGGAGGTTTTTGGTGCTGACAGCAAATGGAGGGTGGAGGTGTGTCGGGGGCTCTTTTTTTTTTTCGAAATGCCTTTAATTAGTAATTTTGCTTTTATTTTTTTATTTTTTTGGGTTGCGGTAACTGGACACTTACATGTGATGAAGGAAATTTTTATTGTTTTCATTACTATTTTATAGGGAAAAAATTGCCCTGTTAGTCGTTGATCTATGATTCCAGTAGTAAGTTGGCTATTATTTTTCAAAATATTAGCAAGTTAATCCTAAGTCTTTTGAAAATGTCCCTTTAACTGTTTCAGCACCCGTCTCAGTTGAAAAGCAAAACTTGACTTCATAAAATTAGACATACGAGTATAGATGATTCAACTTGGATAATTTTTATCGTTACGGAACTGATAGTACGACTCTAAATAAAGTTTAAGAGCAACTTCTGTTATTAACTAATTTGGAAATCGCTAATACGACTTTTTTGTGATTAATAATAATGGTGGTTGAGTAATTCATTGAAATTATTTCAGAGTATAATCGATTGAGTTTGACTTGCAACATATAGAACTAATCAGTGTGATTTGTGATGTATTTGAGTTGTGTGATTAAGGACCAAAGTTAGTGTAAGCCCTTGTTTGGCTCCCATTACATTCAATTACATCACATTAATTTTTTCTCTCTCCTCACCCCACCCATACATTCATCAAATAAAATAATCATACACACAAATCTAAACATTCATTCATCAAATAAAATAATAATACACACAAATCTAAAACTTTTCAACCACACATCTCCCATCAATCACTATTCTAAAAATTTTCAACCCCTCAAAAATCAACAATAATGGGGGCCAAACAGGGGCTAAATCAGCTAATCATTTCATCGTGTTATAGTCTGTAAAGATTTTTATAAGATCTTGAAATATAAGCTTCATATGCTACTTTTTCTTTGTGGATATGTTTAGTGATTATAATCAAAAAGCTATTATTAATATCAATAAATAGTGTTTGATATCTTCAATTTTTTGAACGCTACTTGGATAGAAAAAACGTCAAGTGGGACAATCTACTACTGCTAGAACCACGACACGTAATGATAATTTCGATATTCGATTAATTGGTTGAAATTACAATCAATTTCGTTTTGACTTCTAATCCTCCACATGGAACCAACTAATGGGATTCTAAAGGGATTGAAGTAAACTTATTTGCAGATTGCTTGAAACAAGATTTACAGCAACTTTTCTGCATCAAATCAACACAGAAACAAGAATATTGAAAGATAAAGTATCATCCAAAACAGATATTTACAATAAACCAAAAGACAAGCAAAAGGTGCGATGACTATTGTAAATTGCTTAAGTTGTAGGCAAGGGAGAATGTTCCTGAAAATAAAAGATATGAAAATGCCACTTGTACACTCTTTTTTTGACACGTCAGTGTTGATTGTATTAAAAATGTGTAAAATTTAAATTGTTCAATGATGTGTTGTCATGTGATAAAGTGTAAATAAAAAAATGCAAAGAATAATGTACATATAACATGATTGAAAAATATATTTGGTGGGAACAATGTCAGCTCTTAACGGCCCGTTCGCCACGAATTTGAGTAAATTATTTTTATTTGCTCTTTCAAAGTGGCCCCACAAAGCTTTATCTTTCTCTTTATGGACAACAAAAGAATCATTAACGTAAGAGTGTCAAAACGTAATTGTGAATCCTTCCATACTTTGGAGCTGCGGGACCTAGCAAGACTACATTGGGTCGATGGTTAGCTTGTGCTGACAAGATTTTAACCACGTTTCTTCCGGTACGTTCTCCTCCTACACGTGAGAATACCGTACTCATACGGGCTATCCGACGATCAAATAAGTCGCCGAAAAAACCTTCTAAAAGATAAATTTACAAGAACTTAAATAGAAGGGAGCCAGATGAAGAAGAGCAACTAAAAGATAGAAATTATCATACATCTTCCATATGAACAGGCTATTTAATTTATATTCATGATAGAGGGGCATTATGATCTTGTATCTTTTTTGTGACACGTGTCCTGATGCTAATGGAGAGTTTTTTTTTGCTTCCAGAAATTCTTTCTAAAAAACACGACTTTCTTTTTGGTGAAGCTTTCTTTCACACATGCTTCGAGTACAAGTGTCACCTACTCATCATAGGTCTAAGTGATTACTTTTGACAAATTTCCCCGCTTGTTGGTTATCAAAGGTTTACCTGAAAATTTTCATTTTTAAATATTATTTTCGTGTTTTACTTCACCTGAGACCCAAGTCTCGATGGCTTGCCTTCAATAGAGTGAACATCGGTTATGATTTCATTGAGCTTTTACTTACTTTGCTTACTTGGCTCGTTAGATTATGTGTGAAAAGATGTGGCGAAGGTTACTACGTATCGCCTTCCGGTGAGGCGACTTGAACGGAGCATAGACCATGTTTTATGTTGTGTGGCTCCCTTTGTTGTCGCGGATTCTTAAATGGCTACCAACGAAGCTTTGAGTAAAGCTACTTATATAACTTTAGACACGTCAGAATTAGACAAGTGCACCTACAGAAAATGGTCATTTCAAGTGTCCAATATGTAATAACTTAATAGCTCAAACAACTTGACACATATCTTTATATGTTTTGGTGGTTACGTTGAGTGCCCAGTAACGTACTACCTTAAAAGTTCAAACAACTTGATACATATATTTGAATGTTTTAGTCTCGGTCCATAGCTTTTATAGTTCTATGACAAATTTGTATCTTTCAGGTTCGTGTTTTATTTGGAAAACTAAAATTTAATACTTACATAAATTTATATTCAAAATAATAAAACTTTGGGGAATTACTCCAAATTAAATTTAAAACTATATATTTATAAATAGAGATTACAGTGTTAATTTTTTTATATTTCAATAATAAATTGGACAAAATCTTACTTGACAAGATTTGTGACTGCCATGATTGTGGGGTTATATACATAGATATTAGATGCCAATATTCAACAGTTTTTATACACGTTTATTATTGTGTTGATCGTGTTACACAGCTCATATTAATGATACCTTTTATATATAACTAGTGTAGGCACGTGCGATGCACGTGCTGTAGTTTAGTTGGGTATTTAATAGCGTGTAGTGATTTGAAATTATTTTTTCAGTTAATGTTTAAAGATAAAACGTGTCCCCTTCTGGTCCAAACTAATATAAAAAATAATTAGAAGATGTTTAGAAGATTTACAAAGTATGATTCAATATTGATTGCAATAATCAACCTCGTGTGTGTCAAAGAATACAAGTTATTGCTAACATAGTTACTGGTAT